CGCAAAAGACCGTAAAGTGTTGCGATTCAATGTGGTATCATTCTTCTCTCGAGGCGCGACCTTTGCACCAACCCTTGTGTTTGACCGCCACACATGTTGGACTGTTCCTGTACGTGCAGCTGATCCAACAATGATCCTACTGCGCGTCAAACTTTGGTGTCGTGTGCAGTAATCCATAATCTCAATCTTCCAAATTTCATAGCGCAATTCCCTGCCCTCTTGCGACGCCGTGATGCGCATCTGCGGGTGATCTTCTTGGCCTTCAATCTCTGTTGTCTTTTTCTGCACCTAGAAACCCCGTCCGCGTCCCCTGCCACCGCCGCCTCTTCCGCGACCACCTCCACCACGTCCACGGCCTCCTCCGCGGCCACCGCCCCTTGCACCACGGTCACCACCGCCGACCTCTTTCCTTGCCTTGTTCTTGGGCTTGGGCGCGTCGTCGATGAGAAGTGTGTCGAGCGGTAATGAATCGGGGAGGATGATGTAACGGATTGTGGAACCGCGGACGGTCATTGTGTCGAGGGCTACGGTGTCGCGAGACTTGGGCGTGTACTTGACGGCTCTGAGCGCGACATTCATGAGCGGTGAGACGGAGGTGATTGTGCCGTTTACGATAGTGCCTGCGCTCCTGTCAGATCATGTTTCCAGGAAGTAGCTGAAGGTTTCGATGTAAAAGCGTGCTTGCGCAACCATAAGAAGACGCGCTCGCAACAGAGCTGCTGTCGCCAGACAACAACGCGATGAGAGTAGAAAACAGAAGGAAGCATGGGCTTTACTGACCATTCTTGAGCTCGACTGTGACCGTCTCATTCTGGCACTTCATAAGAAACCTGCGCGAAGCCGTTAGTTGCAAGTCTCGCAGAAGTTGAGGGCTAGCCTACCTGACGAGCTTCATGACTGCTGCTTTTCGACCTGGGCAGTAGTATAACTCGGAGTAGTTGTATGGGTATTATGCTATCGGCGATTGGATATGGTATAGCTGCTGCGGCGCGAAGATACTCGCGGGGAAGCTCCGACTAGGAAATTGCGATCGAGCTTCAGGCTGCACGGACCAAGGTTAATCCGTGACCGAAGTCACGTGCTCTGAAATTCACGCCCTCAAGATCAACATCAACATCACGACCTTGTACTACACAAGCAATAGGATGAAATTCGGCCTGAAGCATATGAATTCCTCGTCTCCTCTGAATTATGTACGATAATTCTAGTATACATACCGAACATACAATGACACGTTACTCATTCCTTCCTTCGATAAAAGAGTAAGTGCCCCAACGTCCCTCAGCCGACCCTTGGCCACCCTTGCGCTGCTTGCCTTTACCTTCGTGCTTGGTACGAGGTTCTGAAGTAGGCCGTGTAATCTTCAACGACCGATCTGCTTTTATCTGCCGAACTTTTGGCGACCCGCCTGCCCTGCGAGAAGAGCTTATGCTGTCTGGTGTATAGAAGATCTGCTCAGATTGTGCCTCTTCTCGAGCAGTAACCGGAGCTGCGTTCAAAGCTTGTTGCATCTCATCACTCGAGGATTGATATGTAGGCGCTGCGGGTTCGTACTGTATCGGTCTGTGTGTGATGTCGAAGCTGTACGTCTCCTTCAAGTACTTGGCGATGGCATGGTTCTCTTCCTCAGTGCCACTGCCGTAGTAACTCTTCAGCTCCTTTGCTACGAGCGTGTCCAGAATAACGCCTCGGTTCAGCGGTTTCTCACCCGCCTGCTTAGAAGGATTGTTGCTCGGTAGCGCAACTGTGGCATCCCAGCGCAGGCCCATAGCGGCAAGTCTGTCTCTGCCTGACCATCCTGTAGCGCGCAGTGGGGTCTCCTGAACAAAGCTTCTGACGCGCTCCTCAAGGTCTTCCCAGCTAACTTGCTGAACAAACCAAGGTCGCAGCATCTCTTCAACGGCGCCAGAAAACCCACTGAACGATTTGTTCGAATAGTACAGATGTTGGATCTTGCCCATAAGAAAGCCCACATCCACTCCCGTGATGGTAGGATTTACGCCGACTCGGCGCAAAAGCTCATGCCAGTCTTGGAAGATGTGCTTTCGAAGGCCCACTTCAGAGTCGACCTGTAGGGCTTTAATAAAGCGGCATAGAACTACACGAGCTTCTACTTGTGTCACCTCGCCAGCGATGTCGATGACTGAAGTATCGAATAGTTGAGGATGGGTCTGGGTGAGTAAGCGCGCTCGTGCTTTTTTGAAATATACAGCCGCTAATTTGCGTTCACTGATGGCTTCCATGGCCGCGTCTAGGGGCATTTTCAACGCAGCCTCGTATTTCATGTTCCGAAGATAACCTCGTAGGTGGAACTCAAGCTGTTCCACTTTTATGATATCCTCGATACCGCCATTGACATGTCCTCGGCGGGGGTCGAAAGGTGGTGCTAAGTTTGCTGCTCGTAGAGGCTCCATGATGTCGCTTGGTAGGAGATCTCTGCTACTAGGGTTGACGCCCAAGCTGTATAGGAGAGTGCGGTAATGTTGAGACAGAAAGCGCGCATCCAACGCAACGAGCCTTTTCGCTCGATCGACAATCTGTGTCCTCATTGCCGGCGTCAATGGCCCGTAGAAGTCACTCAAGACTTGTCGTCCTTCCGCTTCGGCACGCAAGCGCGCAGGGAGACCCATTTCTTTTCGGCACTCCGCGACAAGAATCTCTAGATCAATTCCGAAATTCCCTGTAGCGTACGGTAAACTCGATTCGATGTTCCTAAAGGTCTCGGCAGATGGCTTTTCGTAAAAGGCAGGGGTGTCTTTGATGAGGGTCTTGATTTTCCCCATGTAGTCCTGTCTTTCTCTTTCTCCGGGAAACAAAGGATAATCCCATACCGAGAAAACGCCTTCACCGGCTGCGGATTGTGTGGATCTTGTAGGAGTGTAGAGCTTTTCGCCCGCAGGATTACGGTATCCACCATTGATATACATGATGCTTGGATCCTTGGAAGCCCTTTCCTCTATGCTGTTGATTCTGGCGACAAGGATAACATGATCTGCGATGGGGAATTCATGGGTGACCTTGCACTCCATCGCAGCCAACACTTGTTCCCCCAATACCTGCGGCGCAAGAGAAGGCATATTACTAAGATCATAATGATGCCTAGGCTTATCGAGCTTAGGCTGATAGAGTCTAAGCTCTTTTGATCGCAGATTGTAGGCATCCGGATGGTTCCCTCTACAAAATAGATCGACGACTTTCGCACCGCCTCTGTCAGCGGAGGGGTAATGAACGCGAAAAAGGCCATTGGCTGCCCGGATAGCGTCCAAGGTCTTGGACGGTTGTTTGATGTTGAAGGAAATTGTAGGCGGATCGAGTGTAACGGTGCTAAGTGAAGAAACGGCGACGCCCATGGGAACGTGTTTTTGAGTATCGGGGTCGATACTTTTGACCGTGAGGACTGCGACCGAGCTCGGAACGTTACGCATCACTCTGCGTACCGAGTTCTTGAGTCGCTCTTCCCCCAGCTCCGCCTCAGAGAGCTCAAAGGCAGCATCTTGCTCTTCCACGGGCTCCTGCGTGTTTGCTATATCCTCCGATACACTTTCTGCCGGTCGTAATATGTGTACCCCTCCTCTTCCTGTTATCTTTGAATTCTCCTCCCCAGCTCCTATCGCTTCTTCCTCATGCGATTGCGACGGGGAGTGACTTTGTTGTTGCAGCAGACGAGTCGTGTTATAGTAGCGTGGGGCGCAGATGCCGTTGCGGGGATTTGTATCGCGACGAGGGTATTGAGAGGCAATTGCACATGGTCTTGACCGTTCTAAGAGGATATTCAGTATATATGTACCAATGCGCACTGAGGTACTAACGAGTATGTTGATTCCATCTGTAGAAGGCTGCGAAAAAGCGCGAAGCCGGGCGCTGCGAGAGCGCCATGTTCAGAGTAAAATCTTCCGGCTTGACCTCATGCGCCGAGGGGCAGGAGCGCGCTATGTTTCGAGAAGATGCGACTGTTGGAGGGCAATTGGGTGCGAATGACGAAGTGCGCGGGTTGAAGATGGAAATGTTAGATCGGCCAAGGCTGACCTCCGCCTCTTCGCCGCAACTTTCCTCGCGAACTTCAACACTCGACCCCAGCACAAGTCACTATGGCGTCTCCAATACCCTCAATGGGCGCACTGCGCGTCCTCCGACAATCGATACAGCCTCAAGTACGCCAGACGAATCAAGTACGACACGCGACGCTTCTCCGCCGACCCAAGCGACCCTACACCTTCACCCAACTCGTAACCCTCTCTGACGGCAGCTCCTTCACCCTGCGAACCACAAACCCACAGCCCGTATACAAGAGCGCAAAGGACCAACGGAACTCGCCGCTATGGAACCCGAGTTCACACAAACTACTCAATGTCGAGGAGGATGAGGCCGGAAAATTGGCGGCTTTCAGAACAAAGTTCGGACGAGGATGGGATGCGGAGACTGATGCCGAGAAGGTATGTCAACGAGAAGGAGGCTGAGAGAGTATACTGCGAGTGTTTTGGCTAACTCCTGGACAGGGCAAGCAGACGGAAGACCATCTTCTAGATCTTATCAGCAGCCAGGGCAAGCCGCCAGGAAAGCCGACCGATGCCACCAAGACACCACCTGCGAAAGCGCCTGCATCGACGCCTACGAAACCAGCCGCGAAGAAATAAGGAGTTTGTACACAAGACAACGAATGTCACATTACCATGGCACCGTTGTGCAGTACGGTGCAAATGTGGATGGGGCTTCACTGCAGGGTTCGACAGACGCACGCTATTACAGTCATGCAGTCATTTCTGTTCCGCTAGTAAACAGTCAGAGTGCGTCGTGAGTTGTGTTGGTGTCACACTATGGAAAGACTCGTGCCCAGATGCGCCCATGTACCGCTCCACACTCCTCGCTCGACTCATACAGTCAACTATCTTCAAAACCCATCCACCAGCGAATAATGACTTACGCACAAAACCTTCTTTCTTAACTCTCTCAATTGAAGTTCATATCTCAGTGATCGATTCTATTGCATACCGCACATCATCATGGCAAAGTCCAGCCACAGCAAGATAGTCTGTGCTACGCCTCGCAATGACACCCAGCGCAAGGTCACGAAGCCTACAACAAAGGGTACGGCGGCCTCGAAACCAGAAAGCTATCGGCCCACCAAGGGCTGGGTACACTGTAATCATCCTCCTGACCAGTCTAAAAACATCAAGTGCGACCCCAAGGACCCCAAAAACATCATCCATGGCAAAAGAACACGGAATGGCTCTCGGGTGAATGAGTCACAGCTAGGCAAAGCTACGCACTCTATCATTCTGCCAGACGACGACAACATATCAATTCAGAGAGCAAATGCCGAAGCAGCGTCTCCCCCTGCGCCTCACAAACACACACAAAGAGCGTCTGAAAAATCCGTCGAAGAGCCAGCGCCCGACACGTACAGCGATGGCGAAACAAAAATACACACCGAAGAGGATAACACAGGAAATGAAATATCACCCAGAGCACTCCGCCGTGGGATTATCGCTCTCGTCAATCATTCTTTGCAGATCGCCGACGATGTGGCAGGATATATGCAATTTTTTGGAGGTAACGAGGAACAAGCAGAGGAGCTGGACTGCGGTGTGAACGAAGTATTGATTAGGCGGGTGAAGAAATGGAGGGCAGAAGAGAAGGCCCAGAAAGGGAAGGGCAGTAAGAATGTCAGGTTTGCGGCCTGAGCTGAGGCTGTGGCAGTTCTATTGGGTGTTCATGCTTGGTGGACGATGATGAAGCTGCATATTTTGATGAAGGTCTCTACATGTTATGGAGTTAATTGTTTTATCTTCTTATTGCTGTTTCACTAGTTAGTAATACAAATCTCGGGTCTTTGCGCCACCAGTCTTGTAATCCATGATGTATCATTTTTGAATCCCAAGAGCCCGATGACATTCCTAGTGCATCAAATGCGACTATATACACGTGCCGTTCCAAACCCCGCCCACAACATCCAAACAAGAGGTATAAAACACGCATAAAACCAAACGGCCATGACATCCAAAGCATCCAGGCAAGCTTGCCACTGGCGACATCCATTGAAGATCAAACTACACCGTCCCCAATGACCCTCCGCTCATGACCAACCCACTCATCTCCCTCACTCCTCACACTGCCCGTCCGCTCCCTCCCCTCCTCATCAATCTCCACCTCCCTCGTATGGATAGTCTGCACCCTGATATTGTTCAACTCGACCTCATCCCCGAACTCCTCTCGTGTGGGTGTGCGATACATGCCGCGACTTGGGGCGCGGAATTTGCTGGGCGGGGACGAGGATTTGCATTCCGTTGTGACGCTCGAAAGCACTAAACGTGGTGAAGTCTGCGGACGGTTGTTGTGATGTGGATTGTGTGTGTTGATTGAGCAAGGGAAAACGTTGAGGCTGGGTCTTCGGGAGTTTGCGCCGCTGTTGGTTCTGCTGCTGCTGATGCTGATGCTGTTGCCGCCGGTCGGCGACACGTCGGCCATGCCCTTGATGGTGATGATTTCACTGCGCAGCTTTTCTTCTGTGTTGTCTCCGTATATCAACTTGCTTTGCCGCCTTTGGTGTGATGTTGTGCCGTGTCTTGAACCAATGTTTTCGCCTCCCGTACCGCTCGTTGCGTCGGTAGTCATCATCGTCTTGTCTTTGGATGTGACCCAATGTAGGACCAGCGAACAGAATAGAATGTCGGCGTTGCAGCAGATGAAGCAGATCCAGGCTGGTTCACCTTGCAGTATCATGAGGACGGTCAAGTTGACGACGGAGGTGGTGAGGGTGGCGAGGGAGCCCATGAGCGAGCGCTTGGCTATCCGACGGAGTGTAGGGTTTGTGTTGTTTTGATACGAGTAGAGACTGCGGAGGGGGACGACGAAGAGAGCAGTCAGGCAAATCTGGAGTTCGGTCAGTTTCATTTGTGTCGGAAGGAACCAGAGTAGGAAAATGGGAGACGTACGTTCACAACGACCTCGAAAACGATCAAGGGTAGCATGGCGATCCTCTGCATGCCAATAATGCACACGCCCTCGTCATCGATGTAGCTTATCCGACTACGGTGCGTCAGTATTCGATCTTCTTTCTCGATGCAAAAGTGGGGTTTGCGGCTTACTAGACGAAATTCAAAACGACCAAGACGGTATACGGCACTTTAGCATCATCAGCGCGGGTTCTCTGGACCTGTTGGTCGCAACGTACGTAGCATGAATAGGCAGTTGAAAAGCCACAGCTTAGTCTTCAAGCGAGGCTTTTGACTCCCCCGAACGACATACTAAATCCGATCAGTGACTGCTCGAACAAGAGAAAAAGGAGGAGCCTTGTACTCACAGCTTTCTCAACAAGGAAATAGTATGTCAGGATCTTCGTCGTCATGTAACATAGCAAACCTGTGCAAGAATTAGTCTCCGGTTCACGCAATCCGGTATCGTAGACTTACACAAGAAGACCCCGCTTTCACAGGCCTGCTGTGAAGAATTGATGCCAACCCCGTGAAGCATAATTGCTGTGGCAAAAACGAACAACGCTGAGTCGCAATATATGATGATGATTACTGATTCATTCCGTTAGGACTATGCGCATCAAATGCCCCGAGAGCGTGCGTTGCGCTGCACATACATATCGTGGCCAAAGGCAGCGCCATCCATTTCGTGATGGACTGAGTTCGTCGCACTGTCATATCTTGTTAGCATTCTCACTCTTTTGAAGAAGTACTAGAAGTTGAAAACATACTTATACAAACAGTGAGTGCACCAAAAGTAATGATCTCCAGCATGACACTGATTATCTGTCCCACTCGCGGCACCAGCGCGTTGGCAAGAGCATGACCTGCCATGGTCTCGGTGTCGTGTCGTATCTTTGGCCTCGCCAGAAAAGGTTGTCGCACGTCCAAGTGACGAGGTATGAGGAAAGAGAGAAAGAAGGGAAGGTAGAATATTACAGATGATGAAATCAGAAAGAATGGCCACGATCAACCTCACGAATCCAGCTCTGGGTACTACAGCGAGAAGTAGGAAATCCCATGTGCAATTGACCCTTTACCGCAGAATCCGCACCCAAGTGCGTCGGGGCTGGAAAGTGCGCCATCGAACCTTGTACCCATAGTCATGGCTAGCCAGGCCTCTGATCCTGTTGGGGCCAAGAGACTGTCGTACTTCGTATGCACAACGGTCAGTGCTGGGTTCGGAAGTTTGATGACTGCGACGGAAGCACGTCCGGGGGATCGCCGTTCGCTTCCTAGGGGTAGAACAGAAGGCCTGACGCCAACGCCACTCGTAGGCCAGAAAGTCAGACTGCGGGTGAAGTCTTAGCTTCCTTGACTCATTTACATCCGAGCACAATATAAGTCTGATAGGATGGCTCGCTGTTAGCCTAGTGGGCTCATGAACATAATGAAGGGGAAGAGTGCATTAACGTGAATTGCATCTAATACTTCGCGAGATATTGATGTGATCAAGCAAGACGTGCATGTCAAGGGAGGAATTCTCGAAAACCATTTATCCAGGGCCAGTACTCCACGCCGGGCTAAACAAGACGGCGGGTCCTCGCTAATCTCACGTGGTTGACGTAGCTTCGAGATCTCGAATTCCTTAGCGTCCCAGATGTTCCACAACGGTATCCAAGCCGATTGGACTGGAATGATCGTGCCATCTCAAATCAGTGTCAAAGAATCCCCCGAAGGATGTCAAACGTGGCTAGACTGAAGAGTAGCTTCGCCAAATTCAGAGCAAGCGACTAATGTCGCTCTTCCGAATACCAACAAGCCTGAGGCGTAGCGTCTGTGCTGCTACCTCGCCGAAGTGACCGCTTAATCAGTAATGGGGGCAGACTCGCGTAGCAATGTTCATGCAAGTCTTTTAAAGTTCAAACAACGTGGCTTGCCATAGTGTTCGGAAGACGCAATCCTCATAGCTCCTGTTGATACAGCTCTTCGTCGGTGCCATCTTTCCGAGCGTTCGCATAACTGTCATCAACGCCCTGGGCAACCCATTCATCCCTGATCAGTCTAGCAACGTTTTTCCCACTCAATGCACTCGTCTCCATGGTGCTGATAAAGCTCTCGATTCCGCTGGTATACCACAGTCCGTCGTCTAGCTTGATCTCCTCAAATGTTATGCGTGGGTATTCCCGTGGGTATGAGTACCATAGTTTGTGGTGTATCCAGCTCACCGTGCCATTCACGTCCCCGTGTTCGGCTTCCTCGTTCGAGACATGTTGGCCAAGGACGCGCGAGAGGAAGGTGGCGTTCACACGGGCGGGTGAGAAGATCTTGTAGATGTATTCCAACCGAAGCGGGGAAGATCCCGGGTTAATACCAGCATCGGATATGGATATGCTGAAGAAATTGGGCGACCCGACACCATCCACCGGGACCTCAGACGGGGGTAGCGTGGTAAGAACGTATTGCGGTACGGGTGTCTCAGGCCCAAGGTTGAAAGCTTCTTGGTCCAATCGGAAAGGCGACGCGAATAGTGTAGTGTACAGTTTCGCATAGGGGATCTCATCGGGAATGTGCTGTGGCGCAGGTTGGATAACAAGATCCGAATACTGAAGAGGGGATGCGAGGATGACATCGTCGAAGACCGATGTGTGGCCGGTACTTGTGGTAACTTCATAGCTGCCATCGTGCTGCTTCGAGATCTGGGCGATAGAAGTGTTGAGGTGGACATTGGCGCGAGAGGTTTTCAGCATGTGCGCAAAGATCTGCCAGTTGCCTCCTTCAATCTGCATTGCTCCATTTGTTGCCATGCAAACCATTGTCTCCAATCCGTGAATATAAGGCAAGTTCGAGGCGTAGTTGACCCGAGTGCTGGCCTGGATAATCTCTCTGGAGAACGCTTCCCCGATTCCATTCGTCCTGAGGTACTGTTCCCCTGTCACTCCAGTGGCTTCCAATAAGCCCACATGCTCGACGGCGTCACTCAGGCTCTTCCACGGAAACACCGGTTCATCATACATCTCGAAGAATTTGCCCACGGCACTCTTCATCAGCCTGTTGGTCCAAAGCGGCGCAGCGCCATATCTCCACAGCAGCTTCGCCTTGTCCCACCAAGTATCACCTGCTTTCGTCACTACAACGAATTCTTGTCCATTCCAAATGCCCAGATCAGGCATTTCCATTTGCGCTGCGAGATCTCGTGCTCCAGCAGTAGATAAGTTGAATTCCTCCTTGGCTTTCACCATTATTCGATTGCTCTGCACAAAGATGCTGCCGCCCAGCTCTACGGATATCGCCGGATCGTTCCATGGGTTCACAGTCGTTGTGCGGCCGCCGACGTAGTCGTTGCGTTCGAAGACGGTGATGTTTGTGGGGATGCCTGCTTCGGCGGCATATTGCGCGAGATGGTACGCAGCGGATGAGCCACCTGCACCTGCACCTTCTTGGAGTCAGCATTTGTGATAGATCTTCTGGGGATATGGGCTCACCTATGATTGCTACCTGCTTTACGTGGTGAGCCGGATCATTGGGTGTGAGAGCAAGTGCAGAAGGTAGCGCCGAGGCAAGGCGCAACCACCGCGTCATCATGTTTACTCCTTCAAAAAGGCCGTGCCGCTTATATATATGTTCAGGATGAAATGTGAGGAATGAAGAAGCGTCGTCAGGTTCAAGTGATGTCGCAGGTCACAGTGGTGCGAAGGCAAAGGTTGGTATGGAAGGGCGCGGCAACGGTGATGATGGTGACGCGGCATGGATCAGCCAGCGGCAGCTAC